GAGGGAGGATGTGTCCCACTCCTGTCCCACGCTGAGCCACCCATCCCTCTTTTGTCACTAGCTTGGCCCAGATGCTGTCCACATGCCCTCCAGGGGCACTGAGCACAGTGGTGCTGAGCAGGAGAATCACTGTCCTCTGTTGAGTGCAGAGTAAAGGGACGAGTGTGTGGTCCCAGGGAGGGGCAAGGGCACACGAGCCTGACTTACGCAGCTCTGACAGCACCCGTCTGCTAGCCTGGGCTGTCACAGGAGGTTGCTTGCTTGATAATTAATGCACTTTGGCAACTGATGGGAGTGGAGTAGAAAGGGATTTCATTTCCAGTTGGCTTTCCTGAGGGTGGCAGAAAAAAACTGTGATATAGAGTCAGTCAATGAGCATTTATTGTGGGTCCATTCTGTGCCTCTGCATGGCAGGCTTTGAGGAGGATATGGAGGGAGCAGCACAGGAGGGGCTTTCCGTGGAGAAGCGCTCACTCTCCTCCACTCTGCGGTGTTTACCTTGGCCTGGAAAATAAACAACAGACACATCAGAGTGGGAAAGAGAAAAGCAAATATCTTTGGTTCCTCTCCCAGAGCAAGCAACCAAGCCAGGGAGCGAGGATGAGCTGAGGACCCAGCTGACCTCCCCTCCCAAACTTCTGCTGGCTCAAAATCCACCATTCGCTGTTCATTCCTTGGATTATACTTTGCCTTTCCCCCTACAGATATATATTTTTAAATAAAAACACATCTAGAAAAAAAGAGTGTTCCATCCTTCAATCCTTAAAGCAGGAATGACATGATCATCGATGTACACACAAGTCTGGGCCTCTGGGTGGTAGTTTTCCAAGTGCTGCACAGAGAAGGCCAGGGCAGGTGGGTGGGTTTATGTCCACAGTTGGTGCTATCCAGCAGGTGTAGCTACTCTCCCTGCCTTAGCCCAAGGGGCACAGGGGACCCCAATCCCACTGCTACAGGAGGGGCTGGATGAGTGTTTGCCATCAGGGGCTTCTGAAAGAGGGGAGGGGACTCAGGGAGGGGCTGTGACTGTCAACGTACCCACTGGAGTGGGTCTCAGGCCTGTAGCGGACACCCGCATCCACACTGGCCTTCTTAGCACATTGAGCTCCAGCCCTGCTGGGATCCACAGAGCCTGGGACCCACCTGCGCCACTCTTCAGAGCAGGCTCACAAGCTCCTAAGGGAAATTCTCTACCCAGGCCCATATCTCTGCTCTGTCCACATGCCTCCTCCTGGCGGTCTTCAGTCTCTGTCCTCTTTGTCCCCCCTTTTTATCCATTAGTGGGGATTGAACCCATGGCCTTGGCACCGGGCTACATCTCTAGAATTTTTGGAGGTGGGCAGGGACAGGGTCTGATTAAGTCACTAAGTTGCCCTGTCTGAGCTCAAACTTTTGATCCCAGGGGTGTGCCACCGTACTTATCCCCTCCTTGTCATTTGAGAGGTGTCACCTGCCTGTAACACAGAGCTGTGGGGGGGCTGCGCCTGATCTTCAAGATCAGTTGCTGGTGGGGCCTGGTGCACAGAGATTGGCTAAACACACGTGTGCATGACTAAATATGCTTTGCTTACGCAGAGGAGTCACTCTGGTTCCCATCCCATGCACCTACACTTCCCTGTGTCTTAACCATAGTGCAGTGCTGTGCCAACTAACTCCCAAGCCTCTGTGGCTTAGCTGAACCAAGCTTGATTCCCTTTCCACAAAGTTCAAAGTGTGTTGTGTGTGTCATTTGGTTTCTGTATTTTTGTTGTTTTTCCCGGGACTGGGGATTGAATCCAGGGCCTTCACACTGAGGTATACCCTCAGCCCTTTTCAATTTGTATTTTGAGACAGGATCTCTCTAAGTCACCCAAGCTAGCCTTGAACTTGTGATTCTCCTGCCTCAGCTTAGGCACTGACATCCAGAGCATCGCTGGCCCTGGAGGGTAGCCCCTCCACCCCTGGAGGAGTCAGGCAGCCTGCCCTGGAGCACACATCTCAAGGACAAACCACCAATGCAGAGTCCCCATGCCAGCTCCTCCTTCTTCAGCCTCCTGCTGTCCTCACCCAGGGCTGGATGCCAGAGCATGAGGGGCAGCCCTCATCCAGGCTGGGAGGTTGTGCAAAGCAGCCAGTCCAAGGCTGCTTAGAAACTGCAGTAGAGACCCCCTCACCTCAGCATTCTGACCAGCCCTGTGTAGCCCTGGGTGGCACAGAGGAGTCTCCTCTTTTGGGGACTCTGAGTGACAAACTCTTAATAACAAAGGCAACAAAGTGACACATGTGCAATAGCAATCATCCCCTGATCTGCTGCCTCACCATGTCCCACACATCCTGGTCATACCGTTTTAAGGCAGGTACCCATTCAGTGACCCAGTGACCCAGCCAGCACTCAGATGTGGCTCTCACACCCCACAACACAGCCTGTGGTGACCCACATGCTGGCAGTGGGGAGAAGAAAGCAGCACCATCTCGTCCTTCCCGGGAGTGGACTGACCACTTCTGCTCACCTCCAGGATTCACAGCCTGGAGCCACCTTGGGGCAAGGGTGTGGCTGGGAAATCTGGGGCTGGGCAGGGGCTACTGTCTCCATTTCAGGTCTTGACCTTCCCATGTGAATGAGGATTGAAATCACCATCTGAAATAAATATATGAGGTGGTAGAAACATACAGGGAATGTTTAAATTTTTAAAAATCTGTTATAGTAAAAGATACAGTGGCCTCAATTCCCCTCAGAATATTCTGCCTCGCTTCAAACACACTGATCCCATCACTCTTGCCACTTTCTGAAGCAACTCTGGAAGTCCTCATTTATGTCTTCACTTAGGCCGCTGTGGCTATGTTGATGTCCTGAACTCCTCCAAAATGTTTCTCTTTCAAAATCATTTTGACTTTGGGGAACAGCCAAACGGTGCCAGATCCAGTGAAGAAGGTGGATGAGGACATAGCACCATGGGTTTTTTTATTTTTTGTTTTTTGTACCAGGGATTGAACTTGGGACCTTGCTCTTGCAAGGCAGGTGGTAGAACCACTGAGCTAAATCCCCAGCCCAGCACCATGTTTTTTTTTTTTTTTATGAGCCTGCCTTTCTGCTGGATGGCCCTCAGTAGCAGCGGTCACCGTATTTTTTTTACCATACTTTGTAAGGACACTCAGGAAAGAGGACTTTGAGAACGGCTTCAGAAAGTGGCAAGAAGGATGGGGTGAGTGTGTGCCAAGTGAGGGGACGTATTTTGAGAAAGATTCATGGCGATGTGTTTCTTACTGTAATAATTTTTAAAATTTAAACCTTCACCATCTGTTGTGATCATACCTTGCATATATAACAAAATATCACTATGACACGATATAATTTCAGAGTCCCCTTTGCCATAGATATGATCTAGTTTGTCACCAGAAAATATGGCAGCTGGATGTGAAAGCAGAAACCATATGTATGGAAAGGAGGCGCAAGGACTCATTGGCCCATAAATGTGTTCCAGCTCAGGCTAAGAGTGAGATGAATGGCCTGGGGCCAGTGAACTCACCTGCCCTCAACTCTGTGGGCCAGAAGCAGGTGAGAGTCGTCTGGGGATGGCCACTGAAGCTGAGATGTGGTTGAGCAGAAAAATCTGTGCCTGTCACCAGCCTGTCCTGTGAACATCTCTGTGGCTCTAATGCTGTGGACCTGTGGACATTCACCGCCGATGTCTGCATTTAGTGTTGGCATTTTTATAAATAAGGGTGGTGGTATTCAGAGCGGGGAGGAACTAGCCTGAAGTCACACAGGATTTCAATGAGTGATCTGGGCACAATACTGTTCTTCTGGAGCACTCTCCACTTGGCCCAGCCTGCAGTTCTGGGATCTCTGAATTAAGAGCCTCATTTTGATGCTTTGACCATCTTGGAAATGGCCATTTACCAGCAACAATGATTCTGCCCTTGGGGTTGCCTTTGAGAGGCTGATGGAAGCCTTAGCTTCTTCCTGCACAGAGACACACATCCTATTTGGTGCACATGTGCTTCTGCTCTGCAAGTAACCTCAGGTTGTTTGCAGTGTCCTGCAGCATCCCAAATGGAAGCAGGTAGGCCCCTTGCCCCAGCCTGGTGCTTGCACAGCACTTTGGATGGAATGTCAACTTGATTGGCTTTGGGATGCACCTGGGGATTTGTGGAGCACAGTGTTGGGTATCTGGGCGGTGATCTTGGGTACTGTATCTGATCCCTTGACCCTTTCTACTTCTGCTCCCTTGCTTTACTTCCTGGCTGCAATGAACTAAGCAGCTTTGCTCCACTATGTCGCGACACCTGCCGTATCGCTTCTTTCTCACAGCCAGCCAATGTGGACTGAACCCTCTGAAACTATAGGACAAATTAAACCACTCCTCTTTTAAGCTGCAGGTGTTGGGTATTGTGTCCAGCAACAAAAAACTGACTAGTAGCAAAAGTTAAGGTGCAATGTTGACATATTGTGTGCTGATGAACAGATTTAAGAAGAGGTCTTGGCATAGCAGGATCCTAGACCAGCATCAGAATCACACTTCTAGAGGCCGGTGATTTAGCTTAGTGGTTCCATACCTGTTTTGCAAGTGCAAGGTCCTGAGTTCAATCCCTGGGACCCCACCAAAAAAAAAAAATCACACTTCTATTTAAAATGCTCTCTTTAGACCATGTTACAAAATTAAAAAATTAAACAAAGTCTTTGTAAATAGGGAGGGGTGGAGGGGTTGAACAGAAGGCAGGGGAATGGAGAAAAAAATAAGAACTAAGATATATTATGTAAAGGTACAAATACCCAATAATGAATATCAGTATATTGTATAGCTAACATGTACCAATAAAATTAATTAATTAAAAAAATTAAATGCTTGCTGTTCTCCAACAATGGCAGGGCCCCATCTACAGGACTGAACCTTATACTCCCCACATCAGAGCCTGTCTGTATTCCCATCTGTGTTACTGCAACAAAGTTCCCTGGAGTGTACAGTTTGTAAATAATAGAGATGAAGATCTGGAACACATTGCTTCACTCTTCGGTTAAGATGGCAGGCAGGGCTGCTGCTATAGCATCAGGCCAATGTCTTGATGGAATTTTAGAATGGTGTTACAATGCTGCAGGATTCAATAATCTGGGTTTAATGCAAGATGATATAATATATGAGGATGAAAATCTAAAAGGAGACATAAGAAGGCTCCTTAAGAAGCTTTATCATATCAGGATGTTTCACATTAACAGAGCACTGGACCTGACTGTGAGGACTCTGATCTTGTTTAAAGAACAGTGGACAAAATATGAGGAGCATCAATTCTACCCGGAACTGTATCTCAAAGAGGTTATTTGGGAAAGAAAAGAAATAGAAGAATAGGCAAAGAAGTAATCATATAGTTGAACTCTATGGATACAACTATCCTCAAAATATTTTCATGAACTTGGTCAAGCCTGAAATATACAATTAAGAATTATTGAATCTGCAGACATAACACTTTAAATAAATGTCTGTTGTGGTCTAAATAAATAAATAAAAGCAGAAGGTAATTTCTCATGGTCTGGAGCCTGGGGAGTCTGAGATCAAGGCACAGGCATAAGAAATGTCTGGTGAAGGCTCCATCCTACTTCTAAGATGATGCCTGCCTGTTGTGTTCTCTAGAGAAGACAAACACTATGTGTCTTAGTCACATTCCAGCCACTGGGACAAAATACCCAAAATCCACTACTTAAAAAGTTTAATTTGGTTCACAGTTAAGAGAGTTTAACAGTTAAGTGGACACAGTTAAGTCCTTGGTCAGCTGGCTCCAAGCAGGTCCCTCATGGTAGAAGGGTTTGGCAGAGGACAACTGCTTCACATATAGCAGCAGGAAGCAGGGAAAGGAGGAGCCAAGAAGGTAGATGTACCCACCAAAGTCATACCCCCAGTGACCTACCTTTTCCAACTCCTAGCAGTACATTCAGGTATGAATTCATCAGTGGGCAGATCCACTCATGAGTATGGTGCCCCATGATCCAATCGCCATTTGAACCTCCCACCTCTGAATACACAAATATTCTTGATCTAAACTATAACACTGTGTCTTCATGTGACAGAAAGGACAGGAGGGCTGAGCAGTTCTCCAAAGTCTCTCTGATTAATCCATTCATGAGGGTAGAGACCTCCTGACCCAGTCATCCCCAAAGCCCCACTACTTACCACTTCCACACTGGGGATTAGGCCTCATGAACTTTGGAGGGACACATATACTCACCCCACAGCACCCTCTTGGGTCCTGTGGGCATCCCACCTCTCTCCTCTGAGTGCTTCTTCCTCCCCAGGACAGCATGACCTCCCTTGTCCATTTGCAAACCACTCTCATGATCTCCCTGTTCTGACGTGGCTGTCACAGTCTTCACTTCAGAAAACTAGTGCTCCAGCCCCAAGTGAGAAAGACAGCTCCTCAGTTGTAGAGGAACCAGGATTTCAGAGACCTCCTGGATGTGAACAAAAAGCTTCTGACTTCCACAAAGAGGAGAGGCCTGGGGCTTAGGGAGAAAACAGTAGCATTGCTTGGTGGTCACTCTCTGTGCCTTAATTTTCCCATCTGTAGAATGGGGATGATGGTAGTTCTAGTTTCATAGGGGCATTGCCTCTGCAAAACACAGGGAACAGTACCTGGGCCAGTGGGATGACAGCACACAGGTGGGCTATGATCATGGTCTCCAGGTAGCTGCCAGAGGTGGGGAGGGCTCCATATCCAAAGACACTGGGGTGTTGGTGAGAAAGTCCTGGGTATGCAGCTGGAGCCCCCAGTAAATGGCGACCCTCTTGTTTACCTGGGCCTTATACAAGTTGCCTGGCAATTTGTACTTCTTCTGGGAAGTGTATTCATTTCAGTTGCTCATTTTTTGATTGGGCCTTTTGTCTTGGTGGTCTAATTTTTTTTAGTTCTTTATGTATTCCAAGAGTTAGCAAAAAAATAATATTCTGTAGGTTATCTCTTCACTGTGTTGTTTGATTTGATATGATTCCCTTTGTTGACTCTTGGCACTATTTCCTGCGCAACTGGAGTTCTGTTCAGAAAGTCCCTGCCTATACCTGTGACTTCAAGAGTTTTACCTGTTACCTTCTAGCATATTGTTTTGTTGCTGAAGGAATTGGTAAGTGACACGCACATGGAGACACAGAATGGAAACAAAATAATAAAAGGTTTATTTTGTCAACAAAAGGCCAATCGCACCAAAAGCAGTGCCAGTGATGGACCCTGTACTGGGTTGCAGCTTCTTCTTTTATAGACTTTACAGCTATGGGTGATTACATTTCATTTCCTCATTCACATTGCCCATCTACAAATTACAGTAACAAGACAGTTAACTTTAACACATACTTAACAATTCCTTGTAGTTAGGGAGTTTACCTTAAGATTCGTCTAGCTATCTATTCTAGTGCATGGGAATGGGGTGTTCAAAGTCAGGGGTGAGGCCAGATGTCCCATTTCATGGTCAATGCATCTGGTGTTTGTTAATTTTGAATTAAACAAAGCAGATTGCTATTAGAGACAGCAGAAGTCATTTTAAATTTTCCTAACATTTTGTAGGTTTTTAGATTACTTACAAAAGTTCTCTGTGTCAGTTTCTGTTTTAGCAATTAGCTCTTTAATCCATTTTTATTTTAGCTTAGTACATGGTGAGAGACATGGATCTAGATTCAATCTTCTGCATATGGATAGCCAGCTTTCTCAGTACAGTTCATTAAAAAGTCTATCTTTCCCCTCGAATATGCTTTTGGCCTCTTTGTAAAATAGCTGAATATGCTTGGGATTGTTTCTACATTCTCTATTATATTCTAGTGATCCATATGTCTACTTTAGTGTCAGTACCATGCTGTTTTTTATCACTATAACTTTGTAAGTTAACTTCAGATCTGGGATTGTGATGCTTTCCATTTTAGTCTTATTGCTTTTGCTATTCCTTCACTCTTCTGGTTCCATATGAATTTCAGGATTGTTTTCTCCAGTTATGTGAAGAATGCTGTTGGTATTTTGATTAGGCTTGTGTTAAATCTATATATCAGTTTTGGAAATATGGCCATTTGGCTATATTTATTTTGCCTATCCAAGAACAGTGTATATCTTTCTATTTTCTTTTTTGTTGTCGTTGTTTTTTTTTTTTTT